CTTCAGGCTTTTGGTGGCCAATTCATAAAACGAATGTCATTTATTCCCCACTATCTTCGTTCTTTTGATCTTTACCCTTTTTTCAATTGGGGGGGGGGGGGGGTATATATATTATGACCCCTACCGGATAAATCATACAAATCTAATGACCCCTTTCGTTCCGTAGATTCCGCTAAAGTTTTCAGGAAAATTTCTCACCAACTTTGATTCCATTTCACAATCATCGCCCACTGTGATTTTTGTCACATTTTGTCATCATTTTCATATTTTGTACTATGATATGTTACAATTGCATGAAGTCTGTATATAAACACTGTTTTAAATAGCTGTTAATTTATGATATGAACAAATAAATCCCCCTCGAAAGAGGATAAATAGAAGAAGAAAAAAATCATCGCTCACTTCCGATCCCATGCAAGGTGATTTCAACAATTTCACATGTCTCTTTCTCTTTTTTTTGTTCAGGGTTACCTTCTGTTACACCTCTCTCAATCCTCCTCTACCCCCTATTTACACTCGGTCCTTGTGAATATCAAGAGCCGTTAATGCTCTTTAGACCCATACCCACACCGCTTGTCGGCTCTCGAGTAGTTTACTATCTTCACGAGATAACAATGTCCAAGGTCATCCCGCCCGCCCGTCCGCCCGCCCGTTTCCTCTTCTTATCCAAATCGCCCGGTTCCGCAAATCAATTCACTTCCATTCAATTTGTCCTGTCTGCGTACATGCATTCTGATTTAATAATCATCGAAATATGAGGCGGCGGAGTGGCAGTTCGCTCTTTTCATAGTTGTATTGGCCATCTACCGTCCGGGCGAGGATGTTTAAAAAAAAAAAAAAAAAAAAAAAAAAAAATTAGGGAAGGGGGGGGGGGTTAGTAAAGAATAATTTCATATAAATTCGATCATGGAAATAACTTTGTTGTTCTTTTGGATGTGAGACTGGTCATACGATTGTTTTTATATTTTCTCCCAAATGTACAGTAACAAATGCATCGATTAGATCTTTCAGCCGACGTATTAGGGTAATTCATTGAGATGTCAATTTTTAACGCATGTACGTTCTCTACTTGTATTTATTTTGATGTTAATCCGTTTATACATCGTCCCAATTTGTAATTCTGCATCCTAATACAAAAATGTGTCCCTCAAATATTTTAAACGCAGCAAAACATCACAAAGATGTTTATGTTGTGTGTAGGGATATCAGTCACGTAATGGGGGAAGGGGATGTGTGTAGGGAAAGGAGTGTGGGCTATAAATGAATAATTATATTGGCTAATCTATGAGGTCTCCGGGTGACATGGGAGAGGGGTGCCTCACCTACACAAAACAAAACCCGATATAGAGGGGAGGGAGGGGGGAGAGAGAGAGAGAGAGAGAGAGAGATGGGGGGGGGGGCAACGTAAAATGAAGTTCGCTGATGGTCCAACTCCATTTCAAAATCATCCCGTCACTCGATGGCCTTATTCTTGTTAGTTGCATTTCATAAATCAAACATGACCGGTGCCCCCCTCCCCCAATGAAAGACATCATCAGCCCCCCTATTGTTGAGCCCACGCTACGCCACTCACTAACTGAATTGGATCAATCAAGCAAGCATTCTGTCAAACACTTCAAGGGCAAGTAGCAAGGTGTTTATCACATTCTCACATACCTTAAATCTGTGTTCATGCTACAGATTTTTAGATCCCATTTCGATGCTTCCGTGCGAGATCTAAGCATCATGTTAATGTTGCACAGTCCAGCAAGATATAGCATGTCGCTGTTATTATGGACCGAGATCTCGTGGTGTCTTACTACTACTACTACTACTACTACTACTACTACTACTACTACTACTACTACTACTACTACTACTACTACTACTTTTGCTGCTGCTACTGTTGTTGCTGCTACTACTACTACTACTTCTACTACTACTACTACTACTACTACTACTACTACTTTTGCTGCTTCTACTGTTGTTGCTGCTACTACTACTACTACTACTACTACTACTACTACTACTACTTTTGCTGCGGCTGCTGCTGTTGCTGCTACCACTACTACTACTACTACTACTAGTAGTACTACTACTCCTACTACTTTTGCTGCTGCTGCTGTTGTTGCTGCTGCTACTACTACTTCTTCTACTACTACTGTTACTACTGCTACTAATACTACTGATACCACTACTACTACCGCAACTACTACTACTACTTCTACTACTACTGCTACTACTTTTACCGCTACTACTTATGTTTTTTTTTATAATTGCTACTTTTATCCAGAGTGGAACATCTCCTAGTTTAGCACAAAGTTATTTGAAACAGAAATACAGATCTGTGATTTACATTTTCATGGCTATTGTGAAAGTGTTTAAAATAAGAGTGATATATCTGCAAGCAGGTCAGGATTACATGCCTGTAATCATGGTAATTGTTATGTTAAAAAGGAAAATTTATTCCCCCCCCCCCCTGTTGATCATCCGAGCAGTGATCATCATAAATGTCTATCCTCATAACCAGAGAGAAAGGGATGAGAGATAGTCGACAGAAGGCTGATTGATGAGGAATGAATATTCATGGGGTGTTTCAGTGCCGCCTATAGTCCATGAATATTGATCAAGACTTTGACCCCATTCTCGAGTTGGTATCTTTGCCTAAGGCTTCCAACAGATTATTGAATAAAATCTAGATTTAGAAAGTGCCTTAAAGGTCAGAGTCGGTGTTGAGAATACCTCCTTTTAACCACTACTTTGACGTACAAAGAACACTCGTTGAAGAGAGCGTGAGTGAGAGAGAGAGAGGGAGAGCGAAATAGAGAGAGAGAGAGAGAGAGAGAGAGAGAGAGAGTGTGTGTGTGTGAGAGAAAGAGGGAGAAAGAGAGAAATAGAGATAGAGAGGGAGAGAGCCGGAGAGGGGGAGAGAGAGAAAGAGATATATATATATATATATATATAGAGAGAGAGAGAGAGAGAGAGAGAGAGAGAGAGAGAAAGGGGGAGGGGAGCGAGATAGAGGGGGAGGGGCTAAAAATAGAGAGATCGATGAAGGAAAATATAGAGAGTGGAACATAGCCAGAAGAATGAGGAGAGAGGGTGAGAGGGAGAGAGGCGGGAGATAAAGACACATGGAAAGATATATATATATTGATATATAGAGAGAGATAGAGAGAGAGAGAGAGAGAGAGAGAGAGAGAGAGTGAGCGAGACAGAGAGAGAGAGAGAGAGAGAGAGAGAGTGTGTGTGTGTGTGTGTGTGTGTGTGTGTGCGAGAGAGAGAGAGAGAGAGAGAGAGAGAGAGAGAGAGAGAGAGAGAGAGAGAGAGAGATGAAGTAAACAGGTACAATGATGAAGGGGGAAAGAGGTTGTCGGCTGAAGGAGGAGGGGGCAGGGGGTGGAAGTGGGGAGATTAACCTCAAGTTATTTGCAATACTTGCTAGAGGTAGAGAAAGAGTGAGAGAGAGAGAGAGAGAGAGAGAGAGAGAGAGAGAGAGAGAGAGAGAGAGAGAGAGAGAGAGGTGGTGTGGTGGTGGTGGAGGAATAGAAAAGATGAACAGGAAAAATAAGAAACGAACGGCAAGGGGGGGGGGGGGGGGTGGGGGTGTTGTCATTTCGATAGGACTACTCCACGGCGACTATACTATATAGTACACCAAAACGGTAATCGATTTGAGCAGGGCCCTTGAGCAGTAACTCAGAATGTCATTAATGTCTCACATGTATACAAGTTTTACGATTCCAAAATCAGGCACCTGCTCTTAAAGACGCCATGATCACAATATGAGACATAACATAATTTGAGGCAACTGAGTGTGTTATAGCTTTACTTGTGATGCTTGCCAGTTGTAATATTATGAAGTACATTCTAAGACAGTTTTTGTCCTAACCAGCAGTGTAGCTGGTATGTAAACAAATAAAATTAAACAGATGAAGGAATAAACGAACAGAGGAGTGAATCAGTGAATCAATCCATCAATATAATCAATCGATCGATCAATCAATCAATCAACCAGTCAATAAAATGACATGATGAAAGGGAAAAATGCGCTAGAATCTATGGAAGAGGTAAAACTGCAAGAAATAATACCTTTTTTATAATAATTTTGTAATAACAAGCAAGATTGGCATTTTACTTTGGAAAAGTGCCCCCACCCGTCTTCACAAAACACTAGTTCACATTTCTTTGTAAGAAATGAAATATACGAGTAATACAATCTAAAGCTTAGCACAATGTCGCTGACATTCTTGTTTAAGAATAAAAATACAATATGAATACGAAATCTAGTTACAATATCACCACTGCATGCAATATTGTTTTTTCCTTAAGATTATTATTTCAATAGAATAATCTAATTCCAGGGACGTCACATTTTCTTTTCAAATGCCCCCAAAGTCGTTGCCTTTTCTATAGGAGTACTTAGATAACTCATCGCCATAGTTACATGCGACTCAATTATGCTACACCGCAAGCAAAGGCGTTCTGACATGTATTATGGTTGAAAAGAAGAAAGCCCAAGATATTAAAAGCAATCTTTAAGTGGTTGAAAAAATTGAATCGTACTAGTCAAAATCAAAAGGAGCGCTATAACAATGTATTAATTTGTTTTGACAATGTCGGATGGGTGTGTCAACTCTCGGTTATGTAGTGCATTAAAAAATGTAGCTTCAGGTTGGCCTTTCAATAACATCTTGTCTACTTGTTTATTTTTTCCCCGAGAAAAAAAAAAGAAGCTAAAATTGGCTTTAAAAGAAAGATCAAATGAAAACGGACAAGATTCGTCAATCTTCATCTTATCTTTGCGACACATGTAAGTGTGTTTCATACATTTCAATGTGACCTCGTTTACGATAGTCGATATCACTAGGTCACAGCGAATAATTTATAATATGCTCAACTACCAAGCTATGATTCCCCCACCCAATGAAAGTTTTGTGTATTCAATTTTTTAATTTTTTTTTTAGATACTGTTTGAAAATATGTTGTAGTCATTTTTCAGAATTTTTGTTCTTTTGCAGGGAGGAGCTATTGTACGACCCTAAACGGCGCCCTCACATGGTCATCGCCTCACAGAAGAATACAAACGCCGACAGTGTATTGCGATTTTATATCACTTCAAAAACCCAGAGACACGAATTCAACAACGGCACGCACTTCCTCATGAACGAGTCTGTTTATAATTCCTTTCCACATGTACGTATTTACTTTCCTTTAAATCTGTCTTTATAATATGTGACGCATATTCTTAGGAAGGCTGTTTATTATAGAATATTTACACTTGGCATATTTATGTCTGATAATTTTATTTCATATTATGCAATATCATATTGCAATATCTGCCGTCTCTGTGTACTCATTTCACTTTTATATTTATTTAATGCTAAATCTTAATTTCTGACAGCTTTCTGTCCAGATGTTCAATTTCATATCTTGATACATGTCATGTCCTTCTGGTCCTTATTCTACTGAATTATTAATATCATATTTGAACTCCTGGTTTTTTCACTTTTGTTCATTTTCTCATCAGAATTCACCTTTCCGACATAAAAGATTCAAAAAGTGCAGCTTGGTTGGAAACAGCGGATCATTACTAAATAATTCATGCGGCGAAGAAATCGACGACGCAGACTTCGTTTTCAGGTAATTGTCCCCATATTCTCTTAAATTTAACCTCATGTTTATCTATCTATGTGAATTTATCAAGAAAATAAAGGATTACCGTTGATAAGTGCCTGACGTCTCCGAGCTAATCTTGAGCTCTAGTATCGGCATCGTATGTCGAGAGAACATGGCTATAATTTAATTCTGGATTCTTTACCCTGCAGTAGATTTATTTTTTGAACCATTAAAATAAAAACAACCTCACAAAAAAATAGCTGGAATCATCTTCAATAACAAAGAACTTCCACCATTCGAACTCCATGTTTGCACATAGTGACCTGTGTTAAGCACAGAGTGTTCGGCCTACTTACAATGTACCTTGATATTCTTTTCCCCCTCATTACTTAGCCCCTATACATTTTCTACCAAAATAGTTTGGCACATGTCATTCATTTGTAAACTTTAATATTCAGTGTAATTTTTGTTGGTTTCTGTGAAAATTTTATTTCTATCATTACCAGAAATCAGACTTATCTTTGAGTATTTAAAACCCCGGTATAACTGGAAATTAAGTAACTTGCATTTAAAGCAACTCGCATGCATTGCCTTTCCTATAGAATACAATTTTTTTGTAAATCTAATCATCTAATTGGAATAAAAGAAATTCATCCGATATTTATACTTGGTGATATACAGACCAATCACGAGTCATCGTTTTTGTTCATGTTTTATGTATTTTCATACTCCTTTTACTGGAAAATAACTTACCATTATTTATTTCTGTCTGTTACGCACTGCTTTCTTTTTTTCTTCTGTCCACTCCTTCTCTCTCATTCCCCCCTCTCTCTCTCTCTCTCTCTCTCCCCCTCTCTCTCACCCTCTCTCTCTCTCTCTCTCTCTCTCTCTTTCTCTTTCTCCCTTCCAGGTGTAACGCGGCTCCGTTGAGAAACCACAGCGAAGATGCCGGATTTAAAAGCAACTTCACAACATTTAATCCAAGTATTTTCCTTAAAAGGTGAAATTAAACTACTGTGTAACTTACCTTTAACCGATTAACATTTAGTACATTCAGTAACTTTCAGTAGGAAAAATGTTTATTTTCGATTGTTCTTAAAAACATCCATGCAATTATTCAAGTAAGATATTTAATGTTACTCATTAATGGCGAGCACGTATTTGAGACACATCAATGAAAACTCCTTAATACTTAACTTAATGATTTTAGATAAGATAAAAATACATAAACGACTGATGTAAGATTTGGGGGTGATTATATATATTACTGACAATTTTCGTTAATTTTTAGATCTTTTACCCACTTTCTATTGTTTGAGGTTTTCATATTTTGTGAAATCGTTCAGTTTACTCTAATAGCCGGTGCACAATAAATAACCCATGCTACCACTGCTGTAATCTCTTTTCGATTGTGCCATTTTTGGGTGAATGCGTACATAGAGCGATTTCCGCTTCCTGTACCCAACCATTATGTCGCGCGCTAATCAGTTGGTGATGCACTGTGGGACATGACTGTCGATACGACGGGACATTGTGGGCAGCAGATGGCAGTATACGCAAAACCTGAAATGAAGAGTCAGTAGAATACCCTGCCTTTAAAAGGGATCCGGAACTTTGTCTCAGATTCTGAAACAAAATTTGGATTTAGCACATGATAACTATAAATCTGTAGGGCAGTCAGGAACCCCATGACTTTTACAAGCCGATCGCCTGTCTGATTATCAAGCTATTTATGATTCAAAATCGAAACCAAATGTTGCTTTTTCTTAACGGTTTTCATAACACTACAGTCTATTGGGGAAAACGGGTATGGTAAAACCGGTCACTCAAAGATTTTCACTTTTTTGAGGCACTTCTTGATCATTTTGAGGCGCGATTATTGTGTAGGACTTCAATATTACACCAAATACCGGAGTGTTGGCTCAGTCAGTAGAGGATCCGCCTCACAACCGGGAGGTCGTGGGTTCGAATCCCGGCCGCGTCATACCAAAAAGACGTTAAAAGATGGGAGTTTATTGCTACCTTGTTTGGCGTTCAACAATAAGGGATAGATCAACGTCGATCTGGCGCTGCTCAGTGGCTGCCGGGCTCACGATCAATAATTATTTGGCAAAAAGAATTTCCGTTTCGGTTTAATAAAATTTGGAGTGGACTATTAGGCTATTATTATTATTATTATTATTATTATATCACAGACATCGATAACACGTAGGGCCGTGCATCTCAGATTTAACATTGTTAAACGATGCCTTTAAGACGTTTATTCCACCCTCTTTACAGATTTGGTGGCCTTGCTAGCGATCGCAACCTCTCCCATTTCCTTCATCATATGAAGGAATATTCAGGGTATCTCTGGTTCCCGTGTTTAAGCAGTCACAGGTACACGGACCTGTGCCTCAACGCCTCTTTCTTCTACAACAACACGGAGAACCAGTTCGTGGTCGGCCACCCGGAACATTTCAAAGCCATCTGGCAGTTCTGGAAGGACAGGAACGTCACCAAGATTATATCAACAGGTAAACCAGTCCACCCTGTACTTTTCCCTCCGTCTCTTCCTTTCTCTTTCTCATTCTCTCTCTCTCTCTCTCTCTCTCTCCCCGCCTAGCTCTCTCTTTCTCTCCCCGTCTAGCTCTCACTTTCTCTCTTGCTCTCTTTCTTTTTCCTCCCTCTCTTTCTCTTCCTCCCGAAAAGTTAGGAAGACGGTTATTTTTCGAGGAAAATGGATGTGCTCTTCATTTATAGTGAGACAACTTCTGTGCGCCAGTGACTCGACTGAGTAATAATATGAGCCGCATCGCTCGCATCAATACTCAACTAAAAAAACACTTCCAGAATCACTTAAAATATCTCCAAGACTAGTTATCTTGAAAATTTTGGAACATATTCTGTGATATCTGATTTTTATATGCGAAAAATTAGATTTCATGTACTCTTCTATGAATTTTAGAAGCATGCACAGAGGATCGAATCGGGATGAGAAGCGCGGGACGTGGACAGTGGTTGCGCGTGTTTAAATGATGCAGAGCTTAAATCTCGTAAATGGAGTACAAGTCATGTCCTTCGATATACCTGATAAAGGTTGTATTTCAAACATGTTTACATCTTGACCTGACCACCCTTTAAATGTTGTTATAGCAACAACAACAACAAAGATCAAAAGCTCTATGTCTCATCGACGACAGCATCTTTACCTCGAAGATTAATTCTTCTGAGTAACGTAAAAAATAGCAAGTCAGCTGATTATCTAGGGGTTTTCTTTTTTTCAAGGGAAAAAAAAAAGTGTCTTCGTCCTCCTCCCTCGTTTTAGACTTAAACCCAGCGACGGGTTCACATTTCAGTGGAAGACGACGTCATCAAAAAATTATCCTTTATGTCAAACCTAAACCCAAAGTCAGGTTTAAATTAGTAAAATATGATTCATTGATCTATACGGAACAGATTAGTGATATGCTTTGGTTTTATGCTTGCCCAACAATGAGGGCGCACATCTCGACTCTTAACTAGTGTCCCTTTATAGAACACTACTTTTAACCCTTCAAACAGTTAAGTTAAGCTCTTTTGTTGATCATGGTCATGATGATGTGTATTCCTATTTTTTCCCCCGATGCAGGGTTCTACGTGACCAACTTCGCTTTGACAGTGTGTGACGAGTTGCATCTCTACGGCTTCTGGCCGTTCCCGACGGAGTTCCAGTCCGAGGCCATGCGCACCGTACCCTACCATTACTTCGACGAGGAGCACTTCAGCACCTCGCACGCCATGGGCGACGAATTCATGAACCTCCTGCAACTGCACGAGCTAGGCATTCTCAGGCTTCACACTAATAGCTGTGTGAGGTGATCGATAGATTACCCCACCCCCTCCCTACCCTTCTCTCCTCCCGGCCGCGTTATTTTCTTTCCCACGAGAGTTCCGGACCTTGACTGATACGTTATACGTCATTAGCAGTTTAGACTTTGATTATTTATTGCTTTGCCTCACTATTTATAAAGGCAACAAATAGAACTGAATGGATATTGAGATTTGAACCCACAAGTCCAACGTTGTATTACGCTGTCCTTACCGATTGAGGTAACGATGGGTTTTGCTAGCTAACCAGACTCTTCTGATTGGCTCTATGCAAATGAGTTCATACCAGGGTCCGGAACTGTCGTGGGGACAAAAGGCCGCTCCCCGGCCAGCTTTCGCCTTATCACCTATGGCTAGTATACAATGCCACAAAGATCGATGTAAAGAAAATTGAATATTTGAATCAATTTATTAAAAATAAAAAAAAATGGCAAAAATGGCAAAAAATCGGTCATCGTGCGATCAAAGATCAAACTCGGCAACCCAACCATCATTATACTGTGACAGATTTTAATCAAATTAAAGGATGTTTGCTAGCTGCCAGGGTTACATGCTTCGATGGTTCAAAAGAGGGACGGCTGAATTTGTTTTCTTAGGTCCGATCCACCCCTAAGATTTTTTTTTTTAATCCCCAAAACAGAAAACAAAAAAAAAAGTTTTTTTATACTTCCCAAATTGATTTTTTTGAATAAATATAACAGATCGATTTTTGTTATATTCGTAGATCAAACCTTATGGCAATGCTCGCTTCTGAAACTTCGTACCCAATCATAAAGAAGACGAAGAAGAAGAGAAGAAGAAGAACATAACGAAGAAGTATAAGAACAAGAACATTTTACAAGAAGTAGAAGAAGGAGAAGAAAAAGAAGAAGAATAGAAATAAATTAGAATGATATGAACACAATAATACAAATGCACGCTATCAGTGGATTGTTCTATAAGCAAAGTAATACATCAATGCTGCACATGACTTGTAACGGCACAGTAACATAAGTGAGGAAACCTTTAAAAATATTTAGTTTCTATTGTTATGTTGTAGTAGTGTGGTTTCAATATCACCGATTTCAAGTAGTGAAGGGAGCCCTCTTGTGGGGGAAAACCGTTGACAGTTGACGTACTTTGGATGATACAAGTAAGCTGTAATGAATCCCCAGGTTCTTCAAGAGGCGACATTTTTGTTCTTGAAGCCGATCTTTGATGGGTCATTTAACCCTTTAACTACTGAATTCTCTCATTCCCATAGATTTAATACAGGGACCACCCGGTTCCCATATACAATGGGTTAAGAGTGATGTCATACAAAAATAATTTGGCCGTTCCATGAGGTTGGGGCAAAACAATACGACGATGTCCATGTAACGCTGGTATGAGATCTTCTACTACAAATGGAAAATGAAATCATCTGTTGAATCTTAAGAATCTACCTTACCAGAATCATTAATCTTTCAGTTGCTTCTCGTCAAAATAATTGCTTAAAAATGCGTTTTTGTTTTATATTTATTTTAAAAATATTTTTTATTACCAGCATTACATGGACATTACATTAATATAACAATTCATAAGCTTCATTTATGTCTATAATATTGATGCACCATGAAGATTGAGTTCTAAACATAGTTGTATATAGTTTCTAATTTGTTGTTCTTAATTTGAGATAACACTGTTACTGTTGATAGAAGCCATGGTTTCTCAATTCTGGTGTGTCACGAAAATTGCCCCAACCCCCATAGAATGACCCTTAGACAAAACTGCAAATATGATATTGAATACCATTACTGATGCAAGCGGCTACATACCCTAAGGCCTGGGGAGCGTTTCACAAAACTTGTCATCAGTGACAAATGACAGTATTTGTTATAAGCTACCGAAATCCTTGCTTCTGATTGGTTATCAACACTGATTTGTCACTGATTTTTGTCATTTGTCATTGAAAAAGGCTTTGAGAAGCAGAGCCCTGGTGAGATTAAATGGCGCCTCTCGTGAACATATCATTACCCAGATATTGTCACAATGCGCTACGAGTATAACAAGAAGTCGCCACGACTACACTCCGAGCTAAATCCGATGTTGACACGAACTCTAATCGCCCCAAAGTGTTAACTTCGAATGAGGTTCATTTTCTACTCTTGCAAATATCTACATAATTATTAACTAAAGATTGCAAACATGAGGCAGTTGTTCAATAGGATAAGGGTATTAGAGCCCGTATTCAACAAACTTCCTAAGTATGATCTTTAAAAAACATTTAAGTCATTTTTTCTTAAGGCTATGAATTTGTCTAGTTTCAGAAAGTTGCCTCAGGAGTAGTCTCTGGAAATTATGAGGACTATCTGTGTGGAATAAACCTGTCGGTAGGCTCTTCCACTCAGGGGTTGAATGAGATACGACTGTTCGGGGGGGGGGGGGGTGGGGGAGGTACAATTACAGGGTAATCCAATCTTTCTGATAAGTTCAATTGAATGTTTGAAATGAATGCTGAAATTTTGAATTAAATTGGACCCATAATAAAGGAGTTGTGAATGTTTGGAATTGAGATCAATAAATCTATGCGAATCTCTTATTGGCCCCTTTTTTCAGTGAAGTGTGACGTAGTCATGGACAACTCTCCCGGTTGGTCGTGTACAGAAATACCGTTAATTTCTGTCTCTCTCGTAAGTGCCTTCTCCCTTGGGGCACCACTCAAAATATTATCATGATTTTGGGTAACATTTATTATTTGTCCTCTAAAAAGACCACTCCCTCATGAGTCATACATTTTGGGAAAAAATGACGGATTAGTTTTTTTTTTCTTCCGGCAATACGTCACATCGACATTTCCGAGTTACCTAGTTTGGAGTGCCCATACTCAATGTGATAACAACTGTCAAAAGTTCACATTTTTATGTTCGATTTCGTTTAAACTTTCACCAGACCTTTTTTCTAATTTTTCTGATTCCCCCTGTTTTTTCAAGTAGTCGTCTATTATTTGTTGGATTCCCTTTAAATGGAACTTTCATGTAACAGAGGACTGATTTGCTGAAAGGAAGCGACCGGTATCAAAGTTTGTTTTTAAAACACATCAGTACGGAAAAAAGGGAAGTCGGATTATGCCTAATAGCATTCGAACACAAAAGTCTGCCTTGTTTAGCCACGTACAATGGGGGTAGCGTTGATCTCGTCTAGCCATTGGCAGGGCATCGAGTCATGACGACGGGGTGTAGTAGGGGGGGGGGGGGGTCGTACATGATGTATTTGGTAGATGAAGTATCGAAGAATGAGACCATTGTGTGATTGTGGGGTGTGAAACAGGGGGGGGGGTCGTATTATCTTCTTTTCACGTAGCCTTTCCCTTCTCCCTTTCCCTTTTCCCATGTCTCTCTCTCTCTTAACATCGCTATTCGATGGGAGGGGGTGAGCATGTGCCCCTCGCCCCTTCCTTTAAAGGGATAGTTGAATTATTGTTTAAGACTGCAAATGACTTCAAAGTGCATGGTTATTGCTCTTATTATTATTTATGGCATGTCTAGTGCCCTTTTAAGACCTAAAATTGCTATTAAGGTAATTATAGACCCCCAAATGTTTGAAATTTAGATTAAATACGATCATATCAATTAATCTCCACTCCAAAAAAATAAATTAATCAGTGGACTAACTTTGCCTATAATAAGCGGCCATGGGGATTTAAATCTTTCCGTGAGTAATACTTGAAAAAATCTGCTGAAAAACACCAAATATGTTAATTATTGCAATTTAATTTTTTTTTCCTATATAATTTAGAACCAGAAAAAGTTATGTTAGCAGATGTTTTCTGAACCATCGTTCTCCAAGACCCAGTTCTTAACAGATGTTGCAAGAAAAAACAAATCAATAACCTTTAAAACTATTATCATAATAGCTGGCGTGTACTCGGTGAACGTTCATTATTAAATATCAAGTTTCTTCATTAAGCAGCTTTTTTTGACTGACTAACTTTTTAGCGATTTAATTGATGTTTTAACGATGTCACTCAATCATAGTCATTGATTAAACGTTCATTACAGTTGACAAAGTGGAGAGAAATATTGAACTCAGACTAATTTTGATCAATCACAATATTTACGGAATGACATTTCAGAAATGTTTGCTATTTTGAATAAAGAACATTATGGACATTTTAATTAAACAAACCCTACAAGTCAAATTAACATTTATTTAATATTCATTTTCTTCCATTCAATTCGACAACATATTTGACATCTGTTCAAACAATAGCATTAATGCGCAGGAACATACGTAGGAACCGCATACAAAGTTTTCAGCGGTATGGGGTCATGAGTTGTATAAATCGAATTGTAGATAATAAACTCGTTATGTTGTATAGCTCCCTCTCAAGGCCAAGATGTTAATGCTATACAACAATGTTTCTTGACTAAAATCAACAGATTAGCTATTTCCGTTTGGAAATTATATAGCCTATCACAACTACATATTCTGAGATTTTCACGGTCGCAGCTACCATTATACGGCCGTAGGCGCTATTTGAAATTCATCAAAAAATGTTATACTCAATTTTTCTCGAAAGCAGTAGTGTTTTAGGGGCTAAATTTTCTAGTGCTTATAATACATCCACAGGGGCATCCAAATATATCAAAATTGTATAGAATCACTATCCACCTAATTTTCAAGATTTCTCAAAACTTTGTATTACCTTTAAGAACTTGTATTACAACTTACAAGGAAGAAGGCGCGGGTCGCATGGCTTGTATTGGGTACGCCTGAATATACAAATACATAATATACACTATAAATAGAAGAAAGGAAGAAAGGGATAGGCAAGGAGGAGAAGAGGATAGAGAGCTTGGAGGAAGAGAAAGGAAGAGGACGGCAACATAGTAGCAATGGAGTGTATGGCATGCATACACAACATAATGGCAAGATATAGGTGAAAGTTATGATGTGGAAATATTTGATTGCATTTTTATAGAAAAATACTGGAAACAGGTTTGGTGTTTATTAATTAAACAAGTGAGACAGAGTAAATGCTCAGTCCTTGCTAGCAGGTATTGATGGGGACATTAATTGATATGGCGTACTTTTTACAATATTTGGGTTTCCTATTAAATATTCATCAGGTTTATGAAATGTTGAATTTTATACATGTATTGTTTAGATACAGAATAATATAAAGGTAGCATTGTCCTCCCTTCGTAGTGAAGCTGTTTAAAACTAAAAGTTTTATAAATTTGATGAATGGATGGATGAACGGAAACGCATCTGTATCTGATATCGGTAATTTGAATATTTTGTGAAATTAAAATGTTTATGATATTCTCTCCTCAAAATTAACAATTATCTTGAAATATCATTCCAAAACGTTTGTGATTGACCATTTCACTCATTAAATAAAGACAAATCAAAGCAAAACAAATCAACCGAATCCATTCCTCCCCCCCGAAAAAAGTTTTATTGCCTATGTTATTTCCTTTTTGAAATCACAGAATTACTAGTTCACCTATCGTTTGCATTTCCATCACAAACACTTACCGCTAAGTACACTTCCAATTCTATTTCGACGAGGTGAACATAATATAATAAAGACTGTATTGTAATGTTGGTGTATTTTTTTTCTTCTACGTTGTGATATTTTAAATATTCTGACTATTCTCATCATCAAACTCATTATAATAGTACATCAACTTGATGGTGTCGTCATGGTGACAATTTCTTTCGGTGTGAATGTTTACTTTTATAAGATGATGAAGTGGATCCTAATCAAATGATTGGTTGAAAGCGTACACGTGACCAGGCATTTATTTTGTCTAACGCGTAATTTGGATAATGACCGGTCATTATCCAATTCTAATGACCGGTCATTAGTAAAATCATGTTATAAAACATCATTTTATAATTGTATACTAACACCCCTTTGGGTGAGGTACTAGATAGGCCCGAATTCACAAAGAAGGTTTAAATTCAACCCATGGTTTAAACCCTTCTTTACATAACCCATTGTTTAAACTTAGTCATGGGTTATGTAAATGAGGGTTTAAACCATGGGTTAAATTTAAAACTCCATTGTGAAATCGGACCTAAGGGTCTCAATCGACAGTATGATTCTTACGTGTAATCAAATATTTGTTTACTTGATACTTCACAGGGTTGAAAAAAAATGAATATGGGTTTTTACATTTATTTGTCAAATCACGATATATCATTTTGTATTTCAATGAAATATTAGAAGTGTGTATTAAATTTGTCAAACAATTTTGAGCAAATGTTATATGTAGTTTTCTGTGTTCATGCTTTTAAGCCGAGCTGACCTATCTCCTGAAGATAAGTGGCTTAATTTTCTCGTTGTGTCGGTGCGTGCGTGCCTGAATGAATGGGGTGTTTCACTTTCAGTATACCATTATAATGTGAATTATGACGATATTGAATAGTAATTAAATGACGGGAATTCATTTGCACTATCTAGATTTATGCCTACTGCGACTACTTCTACTACTACCACCACTACCACTACTACTACTACAACTATAACTACTACTACAACATGTTAACTACTACTACTACTACAAGTTCTCCTCATACTCCTCCTACTCTTCCTCCTACTACTACTACTACTACTACTACTACTACTACTACTACTACTACTACTACTGCTACTACTGTTGCTGCTGCTGCTACTACTAATTCTACTAATACAGCAACAACAACCACTACTACAACTATACTACTACTTCTGATAATAGGGACTTTTAGATTGAGTGGACGAGAACACGACGAATGCCGACTGATCATGCGTGCCAACGTACTTAATTGCCCATGTTGACTACAATTAGAAATCTTTTAGATTGCTCTCGACGATATACATGCATGCAGGAAGTAACACTATGAAC